TGGAAAGGTCAGCTCTACTCCTATCAATGTGGAAAAATTCTACTACCAGTCCTTCATCACCGTAGACGAAATAGGATGAATACATCTCATATTAGTGATTTACGGGTAGTCTGAAAACTCTACTCAAATACGAAAATAAGCATATCAATGGCCTCTCGGATCTTGCGTTTTTTTGTATTTCCAATATATGAAGCCAGCCTTTCTGTCGATTTCCACTCGATTTCGTGTCCCGTTTGTGCGGTGTGTTCCGCCATTTCCGATCTTTCACTGTTCATATTTCCACAGTCTTTGGAGTTCCTTGATTTGTAGGCCAATCTTTCTTCCTGTTTCACCAAGGTACTTCTACTTACAGTTGCCGTACTTATTGGCATAGACTCCCGATCAATCTAGCTTGTCAACTTTATTGTGTTGCGCCGGCAGACTTGTGAAGAGTATTGTCTTCTCTTCTATTATCATCTTGTGAATAGACTTCAAATAGGTCTAGATGAACAAGTAAGAAATAGTGATATTTAAGGGGTGATACGAGGATATGGGATTGGTGAATAGCCCAGGAAAGAAGGATTTAGCACACATTTGGTTAAACGTCCGATTTCACATGACTCTTTGAAGAGCTTCAGTGTGCTGCTAAGAATGGCAAGCTCATTGGCGAAACGTCTGGGAATGTACCAAGTCCACGGTCCGACTCTAGACATTATCATGCATACTATGCCACCGGACAATGTGTGTTCCTCTAGGTCTTCCTGCCAATATGACCAAGTTGTGAAAACAAGGCCAAACAACTTCTATGGTTCCTTGCTTTAACAAGCAAGAGCTTAGCACAGGTTCATCGGTGTCGCTGGAACGGGACCAAGTCATTGGTTTCCGGGGGGGGCAATTTTAAAATCCCTCCCATCCAACTTGTCCTCCAAATTGAAATGTTGTTTCACACTAAGCTATTAAGAGATTCTTTGAAACTCAGATTTTACTCAGTTTTTAAATTATTATTGTTACTAGTTAGTAGTTTCAATGCGTATGAACTGACGGTATGGGGTCAATTCTACAGTCTTTTACAGATAGGAAAACATTTTGTTAGTCATTGGGAGGCCTAATAATATAATTGTGGGACAAAATCCACTATCATTCGATAAATCACTTAAAGCAATGGGGGCTCACAAATTATGTATTTGAAAATTGTTAACAGTTTCAAGCATTTTACTGAATAAGAAAAGAAAATATTTTGTTTTACCCTTCTTTATGTCATTCTAAGTACTCTTTATGATGGAGTGCCAGCATGAATTTGTTGCCAAAATTTGGTATCCAACTTTGATGCTGTAACTGACGCAACAGGTTAAAGCTCAGCTCGTCTTCATCCAACCTGAAGAAGGATGGTTTATTGACTGCGTCAACCTGAAAGTCATTGTGACATCAGACGAAGGCAAAATGGTAGGAATATCGAACTAAGATTTTCTTCATCCCATACATCCATACACGCACACACTTTCATACGAAAAGAAATTCACTACAACTATGCTGTCTCATTAAGTTCGTCAAAACCATATTCTTCCTCGTATAGTTCCTTCAAATAAGTCTAAATCTTGGATTATGTTAGCCTCCTCTTTTCCTGCGGATAAAGTGTACAGGAACAATGAGGTGCAGGTGGTGTCTCGGTGTCAAGTCGAGTCAAGTCGAGTCAAGTCGAGTCAAGTCGAGTCAAGTTGTTTCAGTCCTTAGATTCCCCATTTCCTTCCGTGGAGACGAGGTCATTATCTGTTAGTCAGTTTTTACAATATTGCTTGAAAATCTAATATGCAAGTGTCCAAATCTTTGTAAAATGCGATTGTATCATCTGTCTTCTGATTCCGGCCCCGAGGTTAGATCTGCCTCTGAGTAGAGCTGTTGACTGCGTTCATACTTTTTTGTCTATTTTGCTGGTCTTGAAATAGCATTAAGTCAAATGTGAAATGTAAATGATTCAAGTCAAGTCAGCCTCTGATGTGCCAGGCTTGGGTGATCGTGTGGACGTGAATGTAGACGATGCCGCCCAGATCGAGGATGAAAGTATCCTGGGCCTAGCGATCTCAGGCGAACTGTCCCTTTATCCAATCTTGGCCGGCTCTGTCGTCAGCCTCACAGTCGGACTCAATGAAGCCTGTTTCGCCATCGACACACCCCGAAGGGGTACTAAACCTTAACTCTTGGCGTCAATCTCCGCGGAATTAAGGCTTGTCCGCGACCAATTTAACTGAAGCATAATAGTACAGGCAGGACGGGCACACCAGAATCACGTTGTATCGTATGAAAACACACACACACACATACACATACACATACACACACCAAAAAGATACATAAGCGTAGATGCTGAGAGTCGCGTGAGACGATATTTGGGCATTGGCAAGCAAAAGAATTTTCTCTACAGCCGGCGATCCCCATCACAACCAGCCCGCATCCTGAGTCTCTTTTTCCACCGAATCAATGGCTCTGAAAATGCTACTTCTTAAGAGCATGTGAATTCGTGACATACCCAATTAAGCAGACTGGATACAATCATAGGATATTCATCTCCAAGTGGCTAAGCAGGAGAAGTAAAATAGACTAGCTGAGATTCTCTAGAAGTTAATACTGTGAGAGATGAATTGTCTCTATATACCTTTTCATCTTTTTATATATATACATATATATCCAAATATATATATATATATATATGTATAATTAGGAATTCATAAATTCCGCTGAATAACTTATACGCACACTGTTATGTTGGCTCATCTTGAGCCCATAGATGTGTATAAAGTATGAAAGCTGTTGTTTAGCGACAGCCGAGAGTAAACACTGCAACAGGTGGAATTATTTATTATTGAAGGCAATTTAGCGAAAATATTCCGCTCAATGGCATTTAGGACACATTCAACAGGTGAAAGTCACAAGTTGATGCGTTTCAGCACTGACCGGCCAGAGTTGATTTCCAGCAACTTACGACGAGCGTTAAGGTCTACTCTATCGTTTTTGGCAAATCTGTCGAGCAGGCTACAGCTGCGTGTCGAGATTCGGTATTATTTCGAAGCCCTATACAAATAAGCATGTCTAAACAAAAAAGTAACTTTTAAAATAATTACTTGATAAAATGGCAAAATAAATACATTACATCTCTTAAACACTACTTACTGACTGGTTGGGGTGGGCACATATCCAGAACGTGCTCATGACTTTTGAAGAAAACATCAAAATGGAGCTCTTCAATTACCGGGACATGTACGGCCCAGACCCGGTCAGCAAATTGGTCAGTAACGCTTTTTGTTATGTCGAGTTTAGATACAAGCGTCAATTCGTCTCGGCTATGCAAGAAGAACCCACAGTCGCCTCTGGTTCGACGGAACGTTGAAGCTCTTCGTCATTTCCTCTTCATTCCGAATTGAAGTGAGCTTGACAACTTTAATTTATGGAGTTAATCGAGACACTACTTTTCTTGCTATCATCGATAGTGACCTGTTAAATAAGGCATGCAAAATTTGCTGTATGATACCACATACAACCATCAGCCTTTCGCTAATTTTCCCTTTTCCAGCACAGGCACAACTTGTCATCCTAAAATAATTGGACGAACTTCAAGAAAACAATAAACTTAAAATTAGAATCACTTCAAAAATATGTTAAATTCTAACGTTTCTCTTCCCCAAATCTAGACGTGCACAAAATCCTCGTCACCGGTTGGTCGGAACA